TTATCGGAGAAGGGCAATTACTGTTTTAGCTGCATGCCGGACACACTACCTTGGGAAGACTCACCATCTTGCCAATATCTGGCTTCCTACTCTGGGTTTGGCAGCTCTGAAGTGTTGAATTCGGATGAATTTTGAAAGAATCGTTACGCAGCAGTAGTTTTGAAATATTAGTTTACTAATGATTTTTTTGCACCAATGAGCACACAAGAAGTGAAAGCAGCCGTGATTTTTTACAATCCTCTGGAGGAGAGGCTTGCAGCAGTGCAAATAGCCCCCTTCACAGTCAAAAACATAGAACGGGTCTTGCGGGTCATCTTAAAAATTATGCGAGAACTCGTTTTTCTTCAGTTTTGTTTGCGAGGAAACAAGATTAGTTTCATTATGAACGTTAAAAAGAAATATCTTCTGGAGTGCAAGAGTGGTGCTTCTATATGTGCTTGCCCTTATCGTCTGCAGGAGCCTCACTTCAAATCCCAGTGGAGTTTATTGATGGAAATGACATTGCTGAATTCTCCTGCTCCCAAGCATGTGTTTGTCTACAGTCAAGCAGAGCAGCCTCAGGAAGCATGCATGAAGCTTTGGGAGAACACGTGGGAGTGTTAGGTCTGCCCTAAAACTACAGATCCGATCTGAATTGGCTGGGGCAGAGCTGTGTGTTGTGTTTCACATAGGAGAAAACTGCCATATTCTACATAAAGTGAGTATGACCAGGAGAAAGGGGGCTCTCAGGCCGTGTTTTCCATGTCTCTGTGGAGAAGAGTCTGTCTCTACCTCCAGCTTTCTGGTGGTGATGCTCACCAGGCTACAAAGGCCTTGCTGCTTGTTGTTGTTGTTCTAATTTCAGTCATGATGTTTCTTAGAATATTTAGCTCTAAAAATATGCAGATTTTGCAATAATTACTGTGTTTCAGTTCAAACACTTCTCTGGAAAAACTGTTTTGGGTTGTGAAAATGGATTAACCATTTGCATGTGCCTTGCTGGCGAGATGCAAAATTCCTTTTCTGTGTCTGCTTTCCTCACAGTGTGGGTGCTGGTGCCCTTTGCTGCCTGGAAAGGTGAGAAGGGAAGTTACTGAAAGCGTGTGGAATTTGAAAATAGCATAAATATAGCATCAAATCCTAGACTTTTTACTGAGTAGAGAAAGTCTCCAGGACGTCTTCCCTTCTGTTTTCCAGTTATATGGATCCCTGTTTGTCTCTGTGGGTCTTTCCCTCCCTGTAGTGTCCGAGGGCCTCCCAGACACTAGTGAATGACTCACAAGACATCTGTGAAATAAGGAAGTGTCCCCATTTTAGAAACGGGGACTGATGCGGACTGTAGATGTTCTGACTTGCCCAGTTTCACACCGGAAATGTGTAACTGAAGCGGGAGTCGAACCCGAGTCGCTTGAGTTTTAGTGCTGGATCACATCCTGCCCTTTGTGAGTCCAAAGCAACTGGGCAGATGTTGCGAGTGCCAAATTGCTTTAGGAATCGCACGTATGAATCATGTTTGTAGACGTCTGAGTCGCTTTGAAACACACAAAGTTGCAGCTCTTTCTTTTTTTATCTTAAGAAAGAAGATGATAAATGTCCTCTTTTTTTAAAATTTCATTTTCAAACAATCTGCTGTCATTGAGAAATACTCAAACGCACCGTGTGCAGCTGCCCGCGGATGAAAGGGGGACCTGGGGAAGCGCGGTTGAGCCGGGCGGGCTGTGAGCGCGGGTCGGGTCGGGTCGGGTGGTGGTGCCGCTCGCAGCGATGTGGCCTCCCCTGCGGAGCGCGTTGGGACGCT